GCAAGACGCACCGGGCAAGGGCTCGATCGTCCTCTCTCACGCGAGCTTTGAACCGCAGCACGACGAATCACGAAGTAAAAGTACATTACCTCCCTGGAGCTGTATAAATGACATTCGAGAAGAAAAAATATATACAAAGCAACTCAGCAGCCGCAGCCGTCGCCCATGTATATGTTCCTCCGAAGAAAAGCGCACGTACGTACAACGGGTGCAATAAAAAAAGGCGTGCACCGCGCTCTGGAAGACAAACAGAAAGAAAGAAAGACGGTATAGATTCGTGCCATCGGGTGACGCCGGACAAACAGACGCGATCGCGCTTGCAATAAACGAGGCGAAAAGAATGGATCGTAAATGAGAGCGATGGGAAAAGCCGAGGGCAAGGAGCGCCGGGGATGTATTATTTCTCGGCTCCTTTCTGATGCGAGAAAAGCACGAGAGGATTGGATTTTTAATGGAAGGGCGACCCTTTTCCTCCTCCTCCTCCGATGATAGCACGAGGACGTCGCGCTATGTACCATAAAACTGGGACTTGGGTATAAAAAAAAAAAAAAAAAAAAAAAGACAAGAAAAAAAGGGAGTAGAGCATATAATAATGTGTGTATACATGCCTCCTTTTTTTCCGGGAACGACGGAGAGTGGGGCTGTTTTTCGCGAATCATGCGGCAAACGTGCCGTATAACAGAGGGTGGCCATATAGGGTGAAAAACGACCGCGGTATAATATATACGTGGCACATCAAGGCGGGCTGGATGAATGTGGAGTATGGGTTATACGGCGGCTCGACCAATGTTGGAAAAATCGCGCAATCCAACGGGGCTCGGCTCCCTTGCGAAGTGTCCTCCGGGACGGGCTCGCCGACCAATGGGACGAGACCCGGGGTTTTTACGTCCCCGGCATCTCGTGCCTATGCAGTCTCGTGCACAGTTGGCGAGTAATGGCGAATACCCACCCGGCGCCGTGGCTTCACTTTCGACGTCGAAGAGGTTGACTCGCGCCTTCTTAAAGGCCTTCCGCGAGGCTTGGGAGTTTATAAAACGCGAGGCAGGGCTGTTAAACCATCTAATGAATTTTCATCAACGTCTAGGCCTGGGAGACTCGGTCGGTCGGTTTTTTATGCGCGCAATGGCTGAGAATTCTCGTCGGGCTCGTTATTTCGAGAAGCCTCGTCGGGGATGTTCCTATTTTATAACGGATGGAAGAGGCTCGGCTTAGTTTGCATCGTAAGTTCATCGGCTTCTGAGGATTTTGATACTGTGCACGTAGGTATAAGTACTTTGCTTGGAGCTTCGACCGAATGAGCTCGAAAAATTAACCAAGTGATGAATTTTACTCGTTAGTTTTAAACACTTTTCGCTTTATTTGTCTTTATGGCAAATAACTACTAAATTTTAGAGTTTGATGCATTTGATAGTTCATGGAAAACAAAATACGTATAGGTGGTAGTAGAATCGATTTTTATAATGTAACTGTATACTAGTTAACATGTCTAAAAAATACATCTCACATTTTACAAAACAAAGTATATATTTTCGTTTGAGATGAAAAGTAAGACGCTTACGATACACTATTTTCACACGGAAATTTGCAATTGTTAATTACGTCAGTTAAATGATTAACTTCAAGCATTCATTTTTTTCTTGAAAAAACTAGTGATACTCTTTGGTACGGTTGGTAGCTTGGCAGGCTGTAAAAAATATATTTATTACAGAGAAGTAAATTTTAAGTCTTATAAATAAACAAAGAACCCAACCTTCTCTGGTTAAGTGAGATCCAATGCTCCATTTGTAGGAGACTCTTCGTGTGACTGTGCTTCTTTTATAGGCCTTTTTTTTCAGTTGTCTCTTTTAGACTCTAAAATCCAATCTTTGGAGACTCATAGTGTGACTGTACTTCTTTCATACTTAGGCCTATTTTTTCAGTTGTCTCTTTTAGACTAATTAATTTACGTATTTGTTTGATCGTTATTCAAGATTTCTGTAACACAAATTTTGCTATGGACATGTAATAAATGTTTATTGGAACTATAAAGTTAAAGGGCTGTGCTTCAATGAGTTGATGGTAAATAAAGCAGTGTAATTTTGTAAATATGGTCAATTTTATAAGCCGTATAAGACAAGTAGAATATTTATACTTTTGGAGGTAGATTTTTGGAAAAAAGATAAGTTGTAAACTTGCCGCAAATAGCACAGTCAACGTCAACTTTTTATTTTATATCTACATAATTAGTTGCGGCTGGTTTATAATTGGTTACATGACTTTACTGTAAGTTGTAGTAATTATTTGGATCAGCGCCATCTAGCGGTATTTTTTTTTTCGCCAAAAGTGGCCTCTAAACTTTTGACCCACAGCATTAGCGCTTAGAGCCATTTAACAAATTATAAACCAGCCGCAACTTATTTTTTAGCTATAAAATAAAAAAATAACAATACATGTGTTTTTGGCGGCAAGTAAACAATCTATTTTTTACCAAAAAATTGGCTTTCTATGTTTTTATACTTTTTAAGATAAATTTTCGAGTAAAAGATAAATTGTTAACTTGCCGCCAAAAACACATATATCGTTATTTTCTTATTTTATAGCTACAAGATGAGTTTCGGCTGGTTTATAATTGATTAAATGGCTCTAAGCGATAGTGCTGCGGATCAAAAGTTTAGGGCCACTTTTTAGTTCAGAAATCCGCAACGCTAGATGGATTTAAATTTCGCTTTAAGTTAAATACATCTAATTAAGCTGCTGCGATCACATCGAGAATGAAAATGAAAAAATGTCTCATCTGAAAAGAACAGGTAGGAGTTCCTCCTCTAAGTTTTTAAACAAAATAGAGGAAGATCGTATACAAGACAACATGTCTTAAATTTGCAAAATAATTTTCTAAAAATTTTTTAAAATTTATTCTGTAAGCCAACTATTCATACCTGCACGTAAATTTAATATATATTATGGCACCATTGGTTTCGAAAATCAGACTACGGTTGAATTAATCTTGAAATTCATAGACTGTGAGGGTATAACTTTCCCCACACGAACCAAAACATATTGCACGGTAAAATGAAATGAAACGACTATACTTACACAAGACTTCGGTTCAATGATTACAGATCATCTCTTACAACAATCTCTATGACGGGGGGTTTCAGGAGCAGCTAGAAGAAAATTAGTAGAAATGCGATCATATTTTTTTAGACCTTTAGTTAAATTGCATATTTGAATAAACGTTAATATTTTTTCGAGCTTTGGTCTTCAATGTTTAGTAGATCCATAGAAAAGATTAAAATTCATTGCACCTATTTTATTGGAGAATCCCTAAGAAAACGTATAGATTAGTGGTACATGCCCCTGAAGCGACAGTGTAAATAATATCCCATTCACAGGCACCATTTTTCCCAACAGTAGCGCAGAGAAAATTGAAAGCTTGAGAGAAACGCTCAAGTTAAAAAAAATAATTTTTTTTTTTTTAAGTTTTGGAGACTTTCAAGAATCAATACGCTTTCAAAAACTGTTTGTTTATTGTATTTGTTTCACCATACAATAAACGTTTACTAAGTTAAAAAATAATAGTTATAGTACTAGAAATGATTTGTAAAACTTTACTAAACATGTTAGCCGACATACACTTGTCTTTACATCAAAATTCATGAAATATGTTATAATTAAACAAGTACATTATTCTTATATTGAAGCGATGTGTTATACTCAAGAGGTTGCTAAAAACTCGAAATATCAAAAATATAAGGATTTATCCATGCAGATAAAGTAGCAAACAATGGGTTTAAACTATGCTTTGGAAAAATAAATAAGTGGAAGAGTGTAAAGTCTCGCAATTCTTAATGTATACAAAACAGATTGTGTTCAAATTGTATTTATTTGATACACTAAACCGATTACTATAATTATGCAATCAATTCAGTATGATTATATAATTTCAACGATAATACAAAGAAATATAAGCCCCGTGAAATAAAAAAAAAGTTAAGAAACGAGGATTTGCATTAATACTATATTTATTGGTTTTCACACAATACAGTGAGAATTCTTATGTACCGATAATTGATCATAAAATTAATCGATACGACTGTCGGTACAGCAGATGTCCTACAGAGCAGCATTCTGTGCATACGGCTATCGATACAGCAGACACCCTCTATGGTCAATCAATCTCGAAAAATTTTGGGGCTCCGAGACCCGATACGGACTTTTTTTGTTTCGGGCGTGATCGAGCTTTGTCGGTGGCTTGCGCTCTTACGTGTATTTTACATTGCGTACTTATACTCACTCGGCTAAGAATAGAATAGTAGAATATGTACTTGTGATTTTGGAGGTCGATTTTGGGGTAAAAGATAAATTGTAAGTTTGCCGCAAACAGCATAGTTGACGTTAACTATTTATTTTATATCTACAAGATTAGTTGCGGCTGGTTTATAATTGATTATATGGCTCTACTATAAGTATTAGTAATAATTATTTCGATCAGCGCCATCTAGCGGTATTTTTTTTTCGCCAAAAGTAGCCTCTAAAATTCTGAGTCGGTGCTTTAGCGCTTAGAGCCATTTAGCAAATTATAAACCAGCCGCAACTCATTTTCTAGCTATAAAATAAGAAAATAACAATACATGTGTTTTTGGCGGCAAGTTAACAATCTATTTTCTACCAAAAATTGGCTTCCTATGTATTTCTATTTTTGAAGATAAATTTTTGTGTAAAAGATAGATTGATAACTTGCCGCCAAAAACACATGTATTGTTATTTTTTTATTTTATAGCTACAAAATGAGTTGCGGCTGGTTTATAATTGGTTAAATGGCTCTAAGCGCTAAAGCACCGACTCAGAATTTTAGAGGCCACTTTTGGCGAAAAAAAAACACCGCTAGATGGCGCTGATCCAAATAATTACCACAACTTACAGTAGAGTCATGTAATCAATTATAAACCAGCCGCAACTAATTTCGTAGATATAAAATAAAAAGTTGACGTTGACTGTGCTATCTGCGGCAAGTTTTATAATTAATCTTATATCCGGAAATCTACTTCCAAAATTATAGATATTCTACTTATATGGTTTAATGAAATCGACCATACATGGCACTACTTACTATACTTAGTATTAGTAGTGATTACTATAATTACAACACGTAGCTTCATATCACGTATATTTTACACCGTTCTCTCCTCACCTGAATGATAAAATCAGAGGCTGCAGTATTTATCTGGTATCAACTGTGAAGTTGTCATTTTTTATCTGTCATTTTGTCGATGTATAAATTATAATTTATTGCACGTGAGCCGGTGAAGTTTTTGGTTCAGAAAAATGTCAACACAAACGAACCATGAACTATTTGTACTCGGAGACAATTTACTACCACTCTGTTTCACAATTTACAGAGGATCGATGCTCCAAATAAAGTATAATCAACTCGGTAAAAAGATTGTGGTAATGCAATTACATTTTTATTACTTTTTTCCCGGTGACATTAAAACATATGAAGGCCTTATTTTGTTCTTAATTTTATCACAGGATCATGGAGGAGTTTTTAAAGCCTACAATGAGCAAACAAAGAAGACTTGTATTGTACTGGTGGATGAGGATGACCCGACATTTGAAGAGAAGATAGATAATATGTTTTCCATCAATTACATCGTGCATTGTATCAGGAAAAATAAATTGTTAGCTCTAAAGCCGTACAGGTAAACAATATCTAATCTTTAGATGATATTACAGCAATAACTTGTATGTAATTATAATGCTTGTTTATTTTACGTAGAATCTCAAGGAATAATAAGAGTGTGGGCAATAAATCTGAGTCAAGACCAGTTTTTGGGAAGCGTTGCCCAGAGTGAGAATTTTTCAATTAAATATATTCAGTGTAAACATAGTTTACTTAATAACGATTTCTTATAATTTACAGCTTTGATCTTCTGACACTCACAAAGTGTGAACATTTAGAAACACCAACAATGGAGGAAGAACTTACAAGGCTGGAGACAATATTGAACAGTTGTTGAACTGTTAATTCATCTATAGTCTATTTTTTTACAATCGATATTTTTTAATAAATTATTTTTCTAAATAATTTTTTACAATTAAATTACTTATTTCTTGTGACATTAAGGATTCTAAGAGTTAAGTGACAATTTCAAATTTTTTGCACACTGGTATTGGAACATAACATGTAGTTGATAATATTGAAAACTTGAAAGAGTAGACAACTACAGTTTAAAATAGAAATCAGCTGCAGAAACGACGTTTGACTTTCTTCTTCTGTAAAATAGTTTTTGGATAGTAAAATTAGTAAAATATGTTTATCTATTTACTGAACGATTACATGTTTACCATCAGCTGATAAAATAAAACTTTTTTATAGAATTTTTGGGTCGCTTGTACAATTATTGTTGTATATACATACATATATACTTGTGATTTAATTCCATGATGGACACGATAATTAAACAATTCACTTATTTCTTCATTTTATTTGGGAGTATTAAAAAAATTTTGTTTGGAAGGGTTGTGTAGTCATTGCGTACACTTTTTTTTTTCATACATCCTTCAAGTCTCATTGGATTTACTAGACTATATATAGATGTATATCTTGATGGCCTTTGACATTTCCTTGTCACGCAAAGTTACTTCTTTGTTTACTAACTTCGTCAAATCACAATACCTTGCATAAAACTACTCGCGCAATGAATTACCTAATGGAGGACGAAGATGACTTTTTATCAAATGACATCGTTCTATCAACAGCAATTCATCCATCAAGAGCATCATCACCATCGCATCAACGAATAGGTAAGTGAATTCTTTCTTCAAGTTCATCTCTTGAAACATAATTGACCTAAATTTGTACTGGTAGGAACTGGAACAATAGGAACAATTTTTTTAATGATCAATGCAACTTTGGGAGCAGGACTGCTGAATTTTCCAGAAGCATTTGATAAATCTGGTGGACTTGCGACAGCTATTCTTGCTCAGCTTTTTTTTCTATTGTTTATTACTTATACTTTAGTTATATTGGCAAGCAGTAGCGATGTTACAAATACCACAACATTGCAAAACACTTTTGCAGGACTGTGTGGGTCAAAATCCTTGTTTTTTTGTGGATTATGCATTGCTGTATACAGTTTTGGTTGTTGCATCACGTTCTTAATTGTCATAGGAGATCAATTCGACAGAGTCTTTGCTACTTACTTTGGAATGGACTACTGTCACACTTGGTAAGAATATAATATGATGTTCTTAAATCTTATCTGAACGCCATTTATTAAAACCCACAATTGAATTAATAATTTTCAGGTATCTGTCAAGACCAGTTGTTGTGAGCGTTGCTAGTATACTTTTTATTTTACCCTTGTCTTTTTTCAAGAGACTTGATGCTTTAAACTATGCTAGTTCGATAGGTTGCATAACGATTTTGTATGTGGTATGGCTCATAGTCTATGAAAGTTTTGATCATCACAAATTACCAACTAAGCCAATGCACATATGGCCAGATAGACCAACTCAAGTTTTAGAAATTGTTCCCATAATATGCTTTGCATATCAGGTAATTAAATTCATTAAAAATTTGCTTTCTAGTAAAATGAAATACCATATTAAAATTATTAAAACTTTCTCTTTTAGAGCCACATGACTGCCATACCCATGTATGCTTGCATGAAAAATCGTCAAATTGGTAAATTTACGTTATGTGCCATTGTTAGCTCGATTATTTGTTTCTTTGCGTACTCAACTGTTGGAGTTTTTGGATATGCGACTTTCGGCATTGGTAAAGTTCCAAGTGACATATTACAAGGATACTCAGATAAAAGTACAACTTTGACTATTGCAATAATTGCAATAGCTATTAAAAATTTTACTACCTACCCCATTGTTCTGTACTGCGGCAGAGACTCAATATTAAGTTTATTTGGCAAAGATGTCGATTGTCATTTTTTTATAAGATTCATAATCACCATAGTGTGGTTTGTTTTGTGTCTAATCATAGCTGTCTTAGTTCCCGACATTGCACCTGTGATTAGTTTTATGGGTTCACTGTCTGCTGCATTTATATTCTTATTCCCTGGTATTTGCTTGCTTCAGAGCACTTTGAAAAAAGATCCGCAATTATACCTAAACAAAGATCGGTTTTTAATCTTCATAGCTGTCTTCATAATAACTCTCGGTGCTTTTGTTTGCGGCGTTATATTTGTTCAAGCACTTCGAGATTTTGAGAAGGCACCAGTTGAACCAGTTCAGTTAATTACTGGATACAAGTCGCAGTTTGGTGCAAGTTTGTGTAAATAATTTTGTTTTCTTTTTGTTTTTCTAACGATCTTTGTAAATTTTTTTTTTTTTTTCATTCATCCAACAAAGCAATGATCTTTTCTTGTTAAGCGTCATAATAAGACTGATGTAAATAAAAACAAAATTTGTATGCGCATGTAAAATACGTGAATTTTCTAGAAATTTTATAAATTATTATTAGAGACGTCGAAAGTTAATAAAAAGTATTTTTTTATTGTTGATCATGCGTTTTTATTTATTATTCGTCATCAACGCCCTTGAGAAACCCTAATCTGCTTGAGGCATGATTTTTTGGTCTCACAATTTTTCTATGATTAAAAATAACAAACTACGATACTTACGCGTTATACTATAGATTTAATACAAACGTATACAAAATTCGTACGTCCAATAATTAAACAAAAATTTTAAATAATCTGGTTGCGTTGGGTAACGATGGTTTCGTGTATATAATCATACCGCCCTACATGTACAAGTTACCTGCACCTAAGCATCAGAGTTTGATCAATGAAATTGCAGTGAAAAATAGCAAAGGGACGCATGTTTTTTTACCAGTATCGAAGCATCAGCTGCTAACAGTATCATCGTGGCACAATGGTAAAATTAACAGTTCCGCTGATCGAGAAAAAATATTTGCAGCAACAATCATGCAAATCTCTGACAAGAGAAATAGATAAACACCATTTGAAGAAAATAAGTCATATTTTTATGAACGAGCAGAACATCGATGAAATCGTGAGTGTTGATATTCTTATGGACTATATAAAGAATTTTTTTTCTACACAGATCACAATAAAGCATGGGATAACCTGTTTTCTTTCATAAAAAAAAAAAAAATTTAATCATGTATTTATTTTTTGTCATTATTTAAGGACGATTTCAGCGTTTGCAAAAATTTAAGGGTCATTTACCTTCAAAGAAATATCATCGAAAAAATAGAAAATATTGATTTTGCCAAAAACTTGACTCATCTTTACCTGCAACACAATAAAATAACAAAAATTGAAAATCTCGGCAATCTGGTTAACTTGAAAAAGTTATACTTAGGATACAACAGCATCGCTATTGTCGAAGGTTTGGAAAAATTGACGAATTTATCAGAGTTACACATCGAAAAGCAAAAATTAGATGGTGACAAATTTTTGCGCTTTCATCCAAGAAGTATTAAAACTTTATCTGTAAGCGTCGATGATAACTTTGTATTACTATATGTCAAAATAATTGAGATTTATCAGCTCAATCATGATTTTACAGTATTGTTTGGTGCACTTGAACATCTCAGATAATAAAATCACGAATTTAAGTGATATCAATCATTTAAAAAAGTTGACTACATTGGAGGCACAAGACAACTTGATTAATGACATATACTACTTGACTAAAACAGTTAGTAGCTTGAGGCAGCTGGAAAATCTGTTTTTACAAGGCAACCCTGTGACGAAAACTTACCGATATCGGGAAAATATCATCGGCAACAGCTACTCTTTGGGTATATTATTTCGAATGCCATTCATTTTTTTATATTTTCTCAAATACTTAAATAAACGATTTGATTACACTTTATAAACTGTAGTCATCTTGGACAACAAGGTTGTATCTGAAAATTCGCGAGAGTTCTTACAGAGATTCAAAGTTGAAAAATTGAAGTATCATCACAAGTACGCAGAACTTATAATTCTTACGATTTTTCAACTTACCAATACGATTTTTCAGCTTTTCAATATTTTCATTTCCAGGACTTTCAATGGCAAGGAATCGCAATCCAACGCTGATACGTGAAAAATCGTAAAAAGCGAAACATATGAAAAACAAGTACTTATCATTTAGAAGTAAAAATAAAGACTGAAATCTTATATTTATTATCTGATTTATTAATTTTATAAAGTCGTTGTAGAAAAAGTGAAGAAAAGAAGATAACTTCGTACAAAATACAATAAAATCTTTTAGTTCAGTACATTTAAAATCCAAATACAATACCAAAATCATTAAAATAGAGGCATTAAATTTATTAAGAACAAAACAAAAAAATTATACGAAATACTTACAAACAACGTTTTTACAGTTTTCAAAGATAATGCGATCAGTAACTTTTCATGTTTACTGTTAAAAGTAAAATACTATTTCAGACAGTTAAGATAGCGGATCTTATTTTAAACATTTCAAACAAAGCAAAGAATATCTAAAATGCACGCCAATAAATACAACTCAATTTCATTATACAAAATTGCTGTGAAGGAATGACGCAAATTACATTTGAAGTGAAGAAAAAAATAAAGACTTGCCCGAAATCCGCAAACTTTATCTGTTTTATTAAAGAGAAGTTATTTAATTATAAAGATTAATTATTAAAAGTAATAAAATTCTTCTCATATAATTTATCACTGTACTAAATATGTTCAAACAATGTAAAATATATTTAAGTCAACAAAAATCTTTAAAAATATATAGAACTATGTATAGCTGCGCACTCTATAGCTAAATGTACGGCGTCCAAAGCATCAGTTGCTATCGGTATGGTTTTTTTTATTTTTTTTATGTATTTTTTTTTTTTAATTTGTTTATCTATAATTAGATACATCTAACTTTTTGCAAGGGAAAAGTTTAATTTACATCACTTAACAAGCAGGTTTTCGATGTTTGACTGCAGCTTTTGATTTATGCATGTATTTTGTAATTAATATTTTGCTATCTTGAAAAGTGATGACAATAGACGTTACCTTTGCCTAAATATATTATATGTATGTATACTATGTATAATATATTTATCATTTTCATCAGTATATAATATCTTTCAAAATCTACTGTGCCAAACTAATCGTACTATACAGGGAATTGCGTAACAAAGCTACTTTTTCGATTTTCATGCTCAATGATTCCATAAAAAATTTCAGCGCATTTAAGAAAAAAAAATACGCATCGGTAATTAAGATATTTTTTCATTTTACAGACAAAACACGTATAAAGAGTTGAAAAATGCTAAAGCTTGGAAGATAGATGCACGAAGAACGAATTCACAATCGAAATGTATAACCTTGAATCGAATATACACAATCCTTGTATTCGACACGTAAAACGACAGTCCCAGCATAGTTATTGCAACCCAGTACGCGACATAACTTTCTATTCTTACGCTGTTTCGAAATTCGTCAATAAACTCTATCAAAATGCGAATGCACGTATTGTCTTGATTTTCAATCAAGATTCAAGCTTAAATATTTGTTTTTCTTACTATTGTTTCAGCTAATTGTAACGTAGCTTTTACATGGATCGCGATTTTTTTTTTTTTAACGCTCATGAGCACATTGCTTTTTAATATATTCCAGTACCATTTTTAAGTCTCTCGAATATGTTTAATTTACAAATAAAGATCTCTCCGTTAACTCTCAATAAGCAGATGGAAATAAAACGTTTACTGTGCCGTTTGTTGTTGAATCTCAATTTTCTCAACAGTCATGTCTGGGTTCATCGCCGTGGCCTGTTGAATAGCTTCAGCAAGGGCCTTGTCATGGTCGATGGGATCTCCGTCCGACTGTATCGTGATCTTCTGCTCAACTCGCGTCTCGACAACTCCGTCCCTTTCAGTTTTATACTACAAACCAAATTGTTTATTATTAAACCAATCGCGTTAGAGTGAAAAGCTTTGAAAAATCGGCATCGATGACTAAACTAGAACTTACCGTGATCGTTTCAACGGTGCGCGTCTTGCTGGAGATCGTCTGCGAGCTCACGATTTCGCCGGTCGCGGTGTACGTGCCGTCCTCGTTCTCGACCGCCACCTTCCTCGATTCGGTTGCCACAAGGGGTACCGTCGTCGTTGTGGTCACGTTGTTCTCCGGCTCTCCCGTGTACACGTGGCTTTCAGTAGCTACTATACCTGCCGGATCTCCCTGTGGATCATTGAAAAATGCAAGGACATTTTTTTTTAGTTAAAACGTCTTTTAGGATACAATACAAAAGTGTCGTTGTCATATATATTCGGCACATTGAAAAATAGAGTCAGAAATGGTGTCGCATAAAAATTATCATCCAAACTCTGAAAACAACTGTGAAAATATACATTTTTATTTTTCATCAACTCCATGTAAAATCCATGCATGTGTACAATATATAGTCAATGAATTATTATATTTTTCGTCAAACAATTACATACAGGCAATAAATACAACAATGAAATTGCACATCGAAAGTCATGGGCGTTAAGAGCTCCAAGGATGATGTACATAGAACAGTGAACGTGTATATGCACACAAGAGAGAGAGAAAGATTCATTGATGCATCACGTGCAATCGATTTGCAATAGTTGATCGCTTACCAAGAAAACGCAACGAGATTTTGCCTTCTATCATTATCTGGATACTGCAACCATGCAATTTTCGATCGAAATGCATGTTTTTATTTATTTATTTTTTTAAATTTTGTTTCGCAGACAAACATTCTCTTGGAATGATATTTTACGTATATGGATACTATACCTATAAAACTGGTTTTGTAGTTGACGCCTTCATTTTGCCGAGTGTATTGTTAAAGATTTTTTAAAATAATACAAGCGGTGTGAAATATGACGTTTGCTAACTAATTTTTAGTTATTAATGGTACATGTGATTGTGTTAAAACCGCTCCTTTTTTTCAATTTTAACGCTAGGAAACTATTTTTTAGAGCTAGCATTGTTCCAAATCGTTAAAAAAAATATAGGATAGTATTATTGGTAATAAAATTAGCGGCACAAGTCGTTATGGACATTTTTGTGCCTGATGATGTTTCGTGATATGTTTGTTGGTGCAAATGCCTATCGTACAAGTTATAGTGAGATACAAACGAAATGTGTTAAGGTACCGTAAAAATTTGTGTGCGGTAAATACGGTGTTTTGATTATTTGCCAAAGTTTTAGTGATTCTATGCAAAAATACACGAGTGTAGTAAAAAATAACCACGTGTTTATTAGTCAATAAAAAAAAAAATGGGTGTAAAAGTACCTTGTAATACTGATTGCAGAATGCCTGCTGCTCGTCATCAAGATCGATGGGTGTTCCAGAATCGCAACTGCTCGAACTCGATGTACTGAGACGTCGTGAAAACAGCTACGTCATGCAATGCATTAGCCAAGCCGGCGAAATCAATGGTATTAAAATAATTGATGAAAATAAAAGACAAAAAAAAAATATTTATCAATAATGCGAGTCATGAGCTTCGAGCCAAATGAAAATTAGTCTGTTAAGTGTAGCTCTTGCATAACGCTAATTGTCCAATTAGCAAAGTCAATTGTTAATTTGAAGTAAGCTACTTCTTCTTGTAGTCTCGTTCTTAAGATTGCATTTTTTTTTTTTTTTTTTTAATTTATTAGTTTTCAAGTGAATAGTGTAACATTGTAACACTTGTATGTGGTGTGTGAGGAGTTGTGAGTATTTTTAGTTTTTATTTGCTATTGTTTTAGTATGTTGATTTTTTTAACAAGTCATGGAAAGAAAAAATACAATCAAGGAAAAATAAACTTAAATGATTGTAAGGAAAAAAAAAAAAATTATTGACAACTAGATGTAAACATGGACAAAACAATCGACGCACAGGCGAGGAGCTCTCGTCGATGTATTATAATACACAATTACTTAATTACTCAATCAAAAGTTTGAACGAAAGTTGAGGACGAAAAAATGCAATAGTACATGCTGCTCGCCGAGCTTTAATTATACAACAAATCGCAATTACGAATCATTCCCGTGCATCTGTATATGCTATATACGTATGGTCAAATGCTCGCGTCTACGCAAATACTCTGTAAGTACAAGTAATACACAGGGAAAAGTGCCAATAAATAAGAGAAAAAAAAAAAAGAAATTACCTGTTCTCCGGAGAGCACGTGGCTCGTAGTTCTGACTTCCTGTGTCACGGTTCGTTGTTCCTGTCTTGTCGCGCTGGTCGCTGTTGTGTGTGCCACCGTCTTCTCCTCGACCTGAGAGATAAATAGGTAAATGGTAACAAGGCTACTTGAACGCAATAACTATTCGTGGTTCGAAAATACAAGGCTCGAGCCTCATGGGTGCTTATTTTTCAATTAAAGAAAATTTTTCATTTGAAAGAGACCCTCACCTGTTGACCGTTAAATTTACTTTTAAGATATGTTTAATATTAATGGGTACTACATTATACAGCAAATGGATATCGATTTCTAATCGGGTGAGCTTTAATATTACTGTGTTGTGTAGTTTTACAGTATATATTTTGTAATTGTTTTTTACCATCGATAAGTAATGAAACTAATTTGATCCAATGTTTCAGCAAAATACGTAAACTACTCGAGCTCTATGCGTTTCATTGGTACAATTATCTATGATGGGGTAATTAAAAGATTATTGAACACACGAACCTGGCTGGTCTTCTGGTTCTTTTCGAGATCTTCATGCATCGTGGCCGTGCGAGTCGTCACCGCTGTTGCCGATATGTACGGAGCCGTGCCATCGTTAGGTGCTTCGGCCTAAATACAACTACTTTGTGACCAATGCAACGATTCGAGTGACGATTATGGGCTAATGTGGTGATGGATTTATTTCTCATTTTTTTTTTTTTTTTTTTTTCATACGATGTTTAAGCTTATGAGTGAATTTTTTATTACTTGAGCAATGATATTTGCTAAGTGGATCAATACTTTTAAAGTACATTATTAATTCGTATGATTGTACATGGCAAAGATTAATGGAATTTTTCGAGGTATGTATGCTACAAATTATGGTACAGGTATGTAGACAAGATAAAAAAAATTAAAAAATTCATCTATCACATACCATGCAGTTGCAAGCTTGCACATGATTATTTTCATCAAATATGCTTTGTAAAAAAAAAAAAAAAAGGTACAGACAACTAGATAACTTTAACAAGACATATCAAGTACTCATGACAAAGTAAGAACAACAAAAAAACTTCAATCTATGGCATTCTAACAAGCAGGAAAAAAAAAAACAAACAAATAGAAAATTCTTTTTTTATATATTGTCAACACCGAAAGGTCTTCCGAGTGAAGCGTCATTCGCGTTGTTCTACCTTTGACGTTTTCCGCAGCCACATCGTTTGATTCCTAACAATACCTGTGCTCTTAATGAAATTTCTGTAATTATTTGTGAAATGGTTCACCTTGTTGGTGTGCGTGGAAACAGTAACCTGTCCCGAGCCACCTGGCGTGAGATCCTCGACCCTTTCCACAACGTTCTGCGTGACGCCTTCCTGGTCCTTGATCATCGACTGCTTGGTCGTCGATTTCACGATAGTGGGCGTACTGACGGGCAACGCGGTCTTCTTCTGCTTAGGCGCTAACTGATCGACTTTGGGTGCCATGGTCTTGAGATCGCGCATATTAAAGTTCTCCTTATCTAAAGGTTGTCCGCTCTTCGCGTATACTACACCGTCCTTAATGAAGGCATTTTTATCGCCGATTAGCTCTTGATTCTTGGGCTTGCCGCTCTTTTCGTAAATTTTGCCATCCTTAACGTAACTACCGTCCTCGGAGACGATACCGCTGGTCACCGGCGAGCCGTCTTTGTTGGAAACCAGACCTTTCTTGATCATCGTTATCGTTATCGTCACGTAATGCTTGTCCAGGGGTTTGCCCTGTGCCGTGACAATCACGCCGTTCTTGACGGCGTTACCCTCGGCATCGAAGACTGCGCTCTTCAAAGGCTTGCCGGTCTCGTCGACTACGACGCCTTGCACGACTTTGACAGCCTCGGGCCCGAAGGCTTCCTGGGTGAGGGGATGTCCCTCGGCGTCGTACACCTTTCCTTGGTCAATGTAGCAAGTCTCGGGATTCAAATGGCCCCGCTGGAGGGGTTTTCCATTGGCTCCGTACGTCAGGCCATTTTTCACGATGGTGCCGTCAGGATTGGCTTTCGCTTGAGTCAGGGGCCGACCAGAGTTGTCGTAGATCTTTCCGTTCTTTACGGTGGCACCTTTGTCGTCATAGGTGGCCTGCTTCACGGGCTTGCCATTCTTATCGCACGCGAGGCCGTAGCGGTAATAGGTGATTGTAACGACGGAGAGTTTTCTGTTGAGGGGCTTCCTGTCGGGCCCGTAAATCGAGCCATCCTGTACGTAACTGCTGTCGTCACCAAAGGTACCTCGCTTCACTGGCTTCATGTCCTTCCCGTATATAAAGCCGTTCTGAATGTAGCCGGCCTCGGTGCCGAAAGAACTGTGGTTCAGCGGCTGCTCGTCCTTACCGAACAATCGGCCCTCCTCGACGTAATAGCCGGTCGGCAGAGGCGTGCCAGCGTTGAGGAGCTGTCCACCCCAGCCATGAACGAGGCCGTCCTTGATGTAAGTTTCGTCAGTTCTGAAGGCTCCCTGCTTGAGCGGCTCGTCGTTCTTGTCAAAGACAACGCCGTCCCTGATGTAACAACCGTCGGGTACGAGTGACGCCTGGTTCTTCGGACGTCCTTCCGAGTCGACGATCCTGCCATTCTTGATGGCAATGGCGTCGGGACCGTTCTCGTCCTGCGTCAAAGGCTCGCCGTCCCTGCCGATTATCAGGCCGTTCTTGATCTTGTTGCCGTCGGCACCGAACGAGCCCTCGGCTACGATCTTGCCATCCCTGTCGTGGACCAATCCTCCGGCCACGTAAGAGCCGTCCGAGCCGAAAAGTTCACGACTCAGCGGTGAACCGGAATGATCGAATATCGCTCCGTTGACGATGTAGCTGTCCGCGGGCAGTGCCGAGGACACGTTCAGAGGTTTGCCGTCCTGACCATGGAGGACGCCGTCCTTGACGTAGCTACCGTCGGGCTTGAAAAAGGTCGACTTGACAGGCTTGCCGTCTCTCGTGAGGATCTTTCCGTCCTTGATGGCCAGACCTTCCGGCACCAGTGAATCCTGGTTCAAAAGTTTGCCAGACTTGTTGTGCGCGAGGCCCTTCTTCGCGTGATTGCCGTTCGAGCTGAGAGATTCCTGTTTCGCGGGCTTGCCGTCTTTACCAAGGATGTGTCCGTCCTTGACCGTCAAGCCGTCGTGGCCCAACACTCCGTGTTTCAGGGGTGCGCCGTTCGAGTCGAAAACCAGTCCGTCTCTGATGACAGTGTTGTCGGGTTTGAACAAGCTCTGATTCACCGGCATACCGTTCTGGTCGTACAGCAGACCGTCCTTGACGTAGACTCCGTCCTTGATGAACGGAATCTGATTCAGCGGCCGTCCATCCTTTGCATGGACGATGCCGTCCTTGACATAGCTACCGTCAGGCTTGTAGAACGCGTGCTTCACGGACTTGCCGTCCTTGCCAACGATCTTGCCGTGCGCCAGGTGCGCACCGTTGGGCAACAGCGAGCCCTGGTTCAAAAATTTCCCGTCCTTGCCGTACACGACGCCGTCTTTGATGGACGAGCCGTCGGAGCTGAAGGTCACGTGCTTGACCGGTTTGCCGTCCTTGGAGTATACTTTACCCTCGGTGACGTAGTGCCCCTCGTGGCCGAGGTCGCCGCTGGCCAGGGGTTTGCCGTCCCGGCCGTAGATAATACCGTCGTTGATGTACGTAGAATCGGGCAGCAGAGCGACCTGCTCGGCAGGCTTGCCGTCGTTGCGGCAAACGATTCCACCCACGATGTAATTCCCGTCAGCGCCGAACGAGCCCTGAGTCAATGGTCTCTCGTCCCGGGCGAATACCAGGCCGTCCTTCACGTAGGTCCCGTCTGCCCCCAGCTTGCTGTGCTGCAGGGGCTTGCCATTTTTAGACACGATCACGCCGTCCTTGACGAGCGTGTAGTCCGGACCAAGCGCGCATCCATTCAACAGCTTGCCATCCGGACCGTACAAAAGGCCGTTCTTTATGGAGCTTCCGTCGGTACCCAGAACTTCTTGGTTCGCGGCCTTGGAGTCTTTGCCAGTGATGACGCCGTTGGCAATGTGCATGCCTTGGACACCAAAGTCTGCCTTCTTGATGGGCTTGCCATCCTTGGAGCAAACCTTACCGTCGATCACTCGACTGCCTTCCGGGCCCAAGCTGCTCTGGTCGAGTGGTTTGCCGTCTCTGGTGAAGATAAGGCCACCGATTATCCGGGCACCGTCGGGCAGCGGTAAAACGCGATGGTCAACGTCGGGCTGCTCCGTGCCGGGAATCACGACACCAGGCTTAATTTCAGCAGCCTGGCCCTTGGCCTCGCTCACGATAAGGCTCTTGGAGGCGTTCTTTGAATCTTTTGCGGGGGACGTTGTTGGCGGCGCTGGCGGCTGAGTCAGCGGCTTGGACACAGGAGCCGGAGTGGCTGCTGGCGCGCTACCACCCTGGCCGAGACCCTTTTGTTGTTCTTTCAGTCCCGCGGACTCGACGTAATTTATTCCCGGCGTTTTGATGCCCATGGGGGCGAGCACTACCTTTTCCTCCACCTCTTTTTGCCTTCGTTTCTCGGCCTGCTCTTCCAACTTCTTGCTCTCACCGGGCGCGTAACTGAATGCAAGTCCCGTGGCTTTTTTGCCAGGCGAGGCCGGTGACTGCGCGTCTTGCGAGGGCTGCGACGCCGATTTGTTGTCTCCCTCGTACGTGAAACCACGTGGCGGCACCACTCGCCTCTTGTTCGGCGAGTGTTCACGCTCCTCGTACTCATAGGCCTTGGTGAAGGCTGGCGTGCTGGCAGTCGACTTTTCTGTGTCGGTCTTCTCGTCGGGGGTCTTTGCTTTCTCGCTGGCGGACAGGTTGCTGGTCTCGAGGTCGCTTGACTTGTCCTTCGAGGCGTTGGAGTCGTCCAGTTCATTGGGCTTGTCCGACTTCTTCTTTTTGTCGCTGCTCCTGTCGTGCTTAATGAACAGTTTGCCCAGACCACTGATTGGACTCTTTTCACCAAAATAAAATTGAAACAAACAAAAAAAAAACGAGAAAAATTCTCGATGTAACGTGGAAATAAAAACTCAAAATGGGCGTGTGTCACTGGAGGTGCGCTCATTGAGAGGGTTATCCTTACTCTTCAAATTGTGCACTGGTAGTTTTTATGCTTAAGAAAAAAAAAAAAAAAAGCTTCGATGGGGTCAATATTAGTGAGGGCTAGAGGTTCGGAGAGACTTTAGAGACTACAGGGAACAGGAGTGCTGATGTTGTTACTTTTTTTTTTTTTTTCTACTAAACAAGACGTGTGTTAGTCGGTGCGTCTTCTCCCACTCCGATGCAAACAGTGAGATTGTATTGTTAGTTTTTCTGCATTCAGGATTGGCCTACGGTTACTCAAAGCTGCCGCTGATGATACTCCAGATCCTCACGACAAGGAACACTTACCTTAATTTTCTTCTCCTTCTCGGACTTTTCGGCCTTGCTGGGAGTCTCGACGGTTTTTTTATCTTTCTTTTTAGCCTCGGACTTTTTAACCGGCGACTTTTCGTCAATGATCTCGAGCTGCGAGCTCTCGCTCATCGGAGCCGATTTGTTGAGATCGTTATGGTTTTCCTTCTCGCTTTCGTTTTCAATGTTTTTCTTCTTCTTCTTCTTTGAGAGATCACCGAGCGGTAGGACCGCGATCCCTCCGATCAGTTTCTACAACGATACAACACATATTTCACAGTGACACACAACATGCAGCGGTAAGCGGAACTACTACACACTATGAAGTTTCGGCTTTTTTTTTTAATCATCCTCTTCTCGTCCGAGAACAATGGATATTCTTTTACACAAAGATTGACTTGGGCACATTACAGAAGTTTAACAAAGACAAGTGCTCACCAATGCCGTGCTCCCGCATGCAAAAACCATAATATAAACTGACTAGAACAGTTGAGATAGTTCATGACGCTAAAGTGTTCAAATCAATACACAACATTCACCAGAAAAAAAAAATAGAATAACACGCATTTGTGCAGTAAACCATCTAAAAATAGTATTTTTTACGACACAATGAAATGTAAGGAACGAAAATTAAATTTGTCGTTAAATACGTTCAACTGCACAATTTTCAGTACTATACACATAGAAATTCAATTTCAATTAATTTTAGACAAAAAAAAATTTCTAAAGAACATGCATTGTTAGAGCGAATATTATCTAATGAAGACAAAACACCAAATGATTTGTTAAAAACACCACTGACTAATAGGTACAGATGTTAATTTGATTACGAGGTGATGAAATTAGTGCACATGATGTGAAAAAATGCTTTTAGTGATTCGTGTTTTTAGTAGTGATCTATACCTTGCCGCCGGCGTCATAGTCTCCCTCCAGGCTACTCGCGCTGCTGGCCGACGTAGTTCCGGCGCTCGTTTTTCGAGCGAGCTATTAGGTGTTAGTTATAATATGTGTCAGTTAGTTAATAATGAAAAAAAGCCCTACAGATTGCACAGGCAAAATCAATCAAACATTTGTAAAATATCGTGCAATGGATGTTTCATTTTTTCAATGATCCAATAATCACTTGAAACACAATATTTCTTCAATAAGAAGCTTGTAAAGTGAGGGTAAAATAATATTAAACCATGAAAAAGTGCAAGTACGTGGGTTAACAAACTGAAAATGATAAATAATTTAAATTGAAAATTAGGTTTTCCTTTTTTAATGACCATGATTTCGTCATTCCACATCTGCGATTAAAATCTATAGAGCTTGTAATTTAATGATTAATGAGTCGAGTGATTTGCATCCCCATTCACAAAAAAATTATGATAGGTCTGGTCAAATGGAAAAAAAAAAAAAATCTTGGTGTTGGGTTCAAACACTACTGAATGCATAATCGACGATAACAACAACAACAACAACGTCTCGTTTAATCAAGAATAATGAAAAATAATGTCGTCTCTCAAACCCTACCATCATCAACAACATATAAGTATCTTTGAAACTTTGAAACATAACATATATAATGAACAGTAAGTCTCGACCAAGACGCAAAAAATTTGTCATCGAGTTGGGGAAAAAGAAAACCAACAATACCTTTTCTTTCTGCGTTTTAATCGGACTCGGTCGCTGATCAATGTGCTCCATCGCGGGCAACGTTTCCGGCTCGTAGCTACGGTTGTTCAGGGTGTGCCGCTTGCTCGGCTCCTCGTTGTAAGACTCGAGATTCTTTTGCGCACCTAGGGCTGAAAGCATAGGTTGTGACGAGCCTGTTTCCATGTTAATGCGACAGTTTCAACCGCCAATCAGATCCACGTGCAACATTAAAATACGAGGCCTGTTTGTTTTGTTGGCTGGCACACGTTGTACTTACTGTCCATGCTTCGAGAGGTGATTCGTCGTCCGCTGAGGAATCGCTCAAACTTGGGCGGTTGTCTCTCGATGGTCGTCTTCTTTGTCTCGTGCAGCGTTCGGCCGGAGTAACGGAAGCTCGAGCCCAAGTTCGGGATCAAACTACTCTTCTTGGCAGGCTCAGGACTCATGAGTCTGGAAGAACAAGTGATAAACGTGACGATGCAAAATCGAGCAAGGGCGAGAGCACGTGACAAACGAATGACCGACCTGAAGAAAGTGTGGTGCTCGACGCAAGTTTTCCAAAGCCTCTTGGCCGCTCTGTGGTTGGCCAATTTGAAGCCAATGGTGGATTCAAACTGCTCAAAGTCCCCGGGTCGGATTTTGATGTAAAAATTGTGCCTCCTGAACGAGATCTTGAGAATCTTGGGCCACGCGAATCTGTTGATCCTCAACCTGTCCCTGTAAACCGACAAGCCGGTCGAGCAGACGCCGAGCATGATGTCGACGCCCTCGGAGTCTTTCGCGTTGTGAATGTCCACCCCGTACATCGCCAATTTCTTTGCATTCTCGAGGTAATGCAGCTCGGCTTCAGCGGGTGTCTGACCTCTGAAACGAGACAAACGGTGTTTCAACCAACCAAAGCAACCAACAACGACACAATTGTAACAAGACGAACTTGTGCGTTTTGTGAAGATCCATGACCTTGTCGACCAGTGCCTGGGTCTGGGTTTGAGGGGGCGCGAACTTAAAATCCGCCAAGTAGTTGGGCCCGTGCTCGTTGGTATCGTAATCGCCCAGTTCCGATTGGACCAAGTAGGAGCCGAGCAGAGCGTGCGTGACGAAGGTGCACGGCAATCGGCCCGTCACTATGTCGTTCTTGATTTGCAGGCACAGCTGATAGCGCGTTATATCCTCTTGGAGCTGGGCGGGATCCGGGGGGTAAAATTTCACCTCGAACTTGAAGTTCCACGGCTCGTCTGTCACAATGTACGCACGGTCGTGAATACACGATGGACAAAAACAATGGGCAGGGGGGGGGGAGGGCGAGAAGAAAAAAAGAGAAAGAAAAAAAAAACACTCACTTCTCAGGAACTTTGAGATCTTCTTTTCCAAATCGAGCCAGTTCCGCGCGTAGTGCTTGTTCTCGTAGATCAGCCCAAAGTAGTCCTTCTCCGCGAGATTGATGCTCTGGCAAACGCTGTTGAACAGATCGCGGCCCTTTGCCCTTCTCTGCGTCGCGCATAAAAAAAGAAAAAAGAAAAGAAAACACGTGAGCAATGAGTCACAACGACGAGGTGTGTCGCGAGAGAGGGGGAGATGGGGGTTTTTACCTCGATGCTAAAGTCTCTCTGGCTGCCGTCCAACAGGGTGATCCTGGCGATGGCCATTTTGTCCTTTCTGGGTGGCATCTTGACCGGCGAGCCCTTGGTACCGTTCTCGGTCGCCGTTTCCGTCGGCTCGACGCTCGCCTTTCGTTCCTCCGGCATATTTTCGACTCTCAACTGCACAACACAACAAGAGGGTTTATTTTGCATTGGGTATACAACATCTCTCCTGCATTGTTGTTCATTTGATAATTTTACTAAAAAAGAAACATGTATCACCTATACACTCGTGCTCTTTCGTAAATATAATGTACCGATAAACCACATAAATTGCCACCGCGATGCTCATTCGTATATAATACATGTACCATTTCTACATGAAAAAAAAAAAAAAAAAAAAAAAAAGGGTTGAAATGTTGTATTAAATGCTATACAATGAAAATCGTCACAATGAGCTCAAGGTATACCCCAAGACACTGTCCCCCTGAATAATCGATGGAGAGAGAGAAAAAAAAAAAAAAAGGGTCAAGCAACTTTTGCCTCGACTTTTGCTTCCCCCCCTTTGCTTGCTTTGAGGCTCCATGTATGTATACCTATACGATACAGCTTACACATAAAACTTAATCGAAGAAGAAGAAATACAATGACCGTAAAATGCGCGACGCGCTGATGTCGCGCACAACAATTATTTTTCCTGTCCCTTAATAGAGTACACGTGTACCATGTCTATATAATTACAGACCAAAGGGGACGAGGGGCAAGAGAACGAGGCATCCTGCCGGAGCGACTTTGAGAACCGCGAGCATCAAGTATCGTGATCTTTTGGTAAAAGGTGGAGGAGGAAAACGGGGAAGAACCGATGGGACAACAGTACACGGGGAGGCCTCATATATAATATGTATTATGGCGATAAGCAACGCGTTACGATTTTCTTGCCCCCCCCCCCCCGAACGCGTGCGATCTTTTTTTTTTCCCGAGTGTATACTTAGACGGACGAAACAATTAATCGTCAAATGAATAATGGTATAGATTTTTATGGCACGAAAAGAAGAATTCGCGGAGGTACGTGAGATTGCATTTTTCGCGGCGAACAACGGGGGGTTGAAATACCTTGCGCTATCACGGGCGAGCAACTCGCGACAGCGGGAAGAAAAAAAACGTATTATGCAAGGCTAAAATAAAACAATGGTGTACGTACACGATGTGCATGGGGTAGCTCTTACGCGATGGTAAGAAGAAAAAAAAAAAAAAAGCTTTTTTTTTGTTTCTCAGACTACATAATGTATAACAACAGTAGCGCGGATGAGGGATACGCGTAAGTAATGCACGTAAAAGAGGAGGAGGCGGCGAAGAACTTGCGCGACCGTATAGAGCATGTCTATGTAGCGCGCACACAGAGAGAGAGAGAGAGAGAGATAGGGAGCGTGCGAAAATAATCAATATTTTCTACGCGCGCCTTTGTGCGCCTCTCTCTCTCTCTCTTTCTCTCCCTTCCTAGTTTCCTACTCCGGCAGCAGTATAATAATAATATGTAGTGGTAAGTATTATTATATATACAACATGCAACGATAGTGTTGCGGTACAGCAAAATCGGTTGGACATCTGTGTATTGTACCATACATATTATACAACTCGCGACGATGTACATATATTTTTACTCTGAGTATATTTTTTTTGTTTTTTGCACGAGTTTTTGTAAAAACCTGCCTAATAAAAGTATAGTATATATTTAGCTCACGGTCTATACTTGAGAAAAGCAAAAACGTATGGTCGGCGGGTCGACGGCTCCTTCCCTTTGTATACAGCTTGTATTTAGTAAACCAATCGTCTATAGGTATACGTATCTCGTGAGTTGTACAAACATGTAATATACCTATATATATAAGAGCTGCAGCGGCGTTCATTCATCCTTCACCGCACGCACCAAAGCAGTTTTACTCTTGGGGCTTTATCACGACTTTCTATATCTCGCAAAAGTCAGTATTTTTTTTCGATAATTTACATAAAATGATGGTTGTGCGCACGCGCAGTATAAGAATTATCGAAAAAAATACTGACTTTTGCGAGATACAGAAAGTCGTGATAGAGCCCTTGGTACTCTTGCGTTCGCGGGCTTTTAAGCGAATAAAAATTTTCTTTTCTCACCCTCCATGTACACATACGTATACGTAGTTTTTAATGTAATACATCACAGACACATATACGCATATATACATATGTGGGTGGGTGTGTATTTCACGCAATTTGAATGTATATTAACATATAAAGAGCTCGCTGTACCCGGTATAAAATTTGGACTCGCGAAATGAGAAAGTTTCAATCATTGGTATACACGATACTTTGTACGCGATAAATACAACTACCATCAGCTATTGTTTGACACTGTGTATATTTTGTGTGTGTTGCACGTGCACACAACATATCGAAGATCGGTTGCGGTAAAATCAAACGCAGCGCGATCTCGCCGGGTTGTGGAAAGCGCTTCGTGAATTTTTGCGAGCAAAATAAAAGAACATTTATGCGCTTTTACACGGAACGGATAAATGCGTGTACACGGATGTACCACCCAAAATATAGAGCCAATCGGAGAAAAGAATCGCACACAGGGTGCCAATATGTGCGGAGTTTATTTTTTTTTTTTTCAAACTTTGCAAAACCAGAGAGAAACCGCAGCTCTATGTGGAATACACTATGCGCGGCGGCTCGACTTTGAATCGTTAAGATATACACGGGTAAGCGCCAACTGCATAAGTACAGCCGGTGGTTGAATGGGGAAACTTTTTGCTCGCGCCGCCGCTCCTATTATCTCTTCGTCGTCTCTCTTTCTCTTGTATAAGTAGCCATAGTGAGTCTTTAGTCACACTTTCGCGAGCCAAGTTGGAACACATCGATGTGTCACAAGATTGGACAAACTTTTTGCCGATGCTGCTTCGAGGGCGATGCTATGTATGATGATGGAGAAAAAAAAAAAAAAAAAAAAAAGGAAATGATGGAGAAAAAAAAAAAAAAAAAAAAAAAACGCGAAGCAAATTATTCCAACTGAAAGATTCATCATCATGCATGCACGCGTACAGGTGGTGGAAGAAGAAAAAGGCAATCAAGTATCAAGGGAAAGCTTGGGAGCTTCGAAACTTGCTGTCAATTGCGAAAGGAGTATACAAAAGTAAACAGCCACCGGGAAAGCAATCGTGCTTTTAGTTTATGCAACGAGCGAGTACATACCACCACCTAACAGAGGCGGCGAGATCGTTTTACAACAAAGGCACTCCTCCTCCTCTCAGCATCCCATCGCAAAGTGGATCACCCGCTTGCTCTCCTTCCCTCCCTTTTTTTTCCTTTTACGAGATAACAATTTTACCTTACGTAATGCTTTAAAAAAAAGGTGTTTTTTATTCCGTCTCTATATATATATATATATTACTATGTATGTACATAATGTGTGCATGTTTATTATCCACCATGTGCCGTATATGTATGGGTTATTCCACTTTCTTACTTTCCATGTTAAAGACTGAACATTTTTTTTTAACAAGTTCATTCAATTATTCAAAAATAGATTTCGTTTCATTTCCAAGTTCGGCAAAATATATGTACANCGCACCGCAACCATGACATATCATAATATCTACTTTAGTACGTAGTGCGGAAGAGCAAAGAGATGTGTGAATCGTAGGAGACGCTATGTGTGTGTGTACAATATATATATATATATATATTAAATTAGCATACATTCAATCAATAATCGAAGTTAAAGGGGAATGATGCACGTAAGTATAAGGTCGTAGTGTGGAGTATATATAATGAGAAAAATGAAATGAGGAAAAGAGGGAGGGAGAGGAGAAAAACGAGCTATCTCGGCTACTGGAGCAGAAAGAAAGAATCGCCTTGCAATAAGTTATACCTTAAGAGGAGGAGGGGAAAGACCGAGAGAGGCGCGATGAATCTACACTGGTGCAGGCAAATCGGTCCCTCTGGGAAAATTTTTTCACGGCAATAACACCAACACTCTACTCTTGAGCTCACTCTCTCACGCGTACCTACTTATATACTTACTTTACAACGTAGAAATATTGCGAAAGTCTCGTTGATTCGCGGTAAGCAAAACTTTTTGACGTATTTATACTAAAATTGTGTATTATTATTATTATTATTATTATTATTATTATTATTATTTTGCTTCATTTGACCTTATATTATTTGGTATTATTTGTGTATATAATACACCTCTGTGATTTCGTTTGAACGTTGCGTCATCATTACCGTAAAATTGTTTTTTGGTTGGGTAATATATATATATATACATATATTTTCGCGCAAAACAAAGAAGTGTATATTATATAAATACGTATTTCAAGAGCAATACACGGAGTCACACGTTTGTATATAAAGTAATGCACCGATTGCGAAAATAAGCGTAGGCACCAACAGTTACACTGCGATCTGGCCATTGTAAACCAGGCAAATGTTCTCCCAACAATCGATGAAAAATTAAAAATCCAAGTTGAATGTAAAAAAAAAAAAAAAAAAAAAAAAAAAAAAAAAAAAAAAAAAAAAAAAAAAAAAAAA